TGGGCAAAATGAGCTTTATATAGAGTCATGGTTTTTGATTATAGAACTTTTATTAACTTTTACTACTTGGTTCAAAACCTGGCAGAATATTTTGATAAATTCACATCCCTCCCCTCCCTCCAGGCTCCGATATGACTCCCATCTCACTGGCCTCAACCCTTGGTTCCTTATATAACTCGAAAAACAGACATTGAAGAAGGCAGCATCCTCAAGTGGAAACAAAGCTGCAGACCCTCCCTGCCAGTGACCCCTCCTTCTGTGGAACATTTTTGCCATGTACAAATGCCAGTTGCATGGGCAGCCAGCAGTCTGCTGAAATTCTGAAACCAAATTATGGGCAGGCTAGTGCTCTTTGAGAAAATATTGAAGTTGTCAAGGATTTCATTTCACTTGGATCTACAATCAACACCCATGGAAGCAGCAATCAAGAAATCAAATGATGTATTGCACTGGGCAAATCTGCTGCAACAGACCTCTTTAAAGTGTTGAAAAGCAAAGATGTCACTTTGAGGGCTAAGGTGCACCCGACCCAAGCCATGGTATTTTCAATCACCTCATATGCATGCGAAAGCTGGACAATGAATAAGGAAGACCAGAGAAGAATTGATGCATTTGAATTACAGTGTTGGCGAAGAATATTGAATATACCGTGGACTGCCAGAAGAATGAACAAGTCTTTCTTGGAAAGAGTACAGCCAGAGCGCTCCTTGGAAGCCAGCATGGCGAGACTTTGTCTCATGTACTTTGGACATGTTATCAGGAGGGAATAGTGCCTGGAGAAGGATATCATGCTTGGTAAAGTAGAGGGTCAGAGAAAAAGAGGAAGACCCTCAAGGAGATGGACTGACACAGTGGCTGCAATAATGGGCTCAAACTTAGCAACATTTGTGAGGATGGCAAAGGACCGGGCAGTGTTTCCTTCTGTTGTACATAGGGTTGGAACTGACCCGACAGCACCTAACAAGTGCTCTTTACTGTAAATCAGTGATTTATCTCGTTATTTGAGATAAATATTTGCCAGTTCAAAGTGACATTGGTTACGTTCATCATCATATTGTACAACCCTCACTACCATCCATTTCCAAATTATCCCACCATCATGAACAGAAACTCAGTGTCCCTAAACTAAGACTCCCACCTATTTCTTTAAGTGGGATCCTGTAATGCTTGTCCTTTTATTTACTGACTTATTTCACTTAGCACAATGTTTTCAAGGTTCATCTACGCTGTAGCATATATCAAGACTTCATTTTTCTTCATGGCTGAGTCACATTCCATTGTATGTAAACACTACATTTTGTTTATCCATTCGTTTGTTGTTGATGGACATTTAGGTCGTTTCCAAATTCGGCTACTGTGAACAGTGCTGCAATGAACATCGGTGTACAAGTTTTCATTATTTGATTTGTAAATCCTTTAATACTTCTCCCAGGAAAAAGCCTGCTTTGGAAAACTCACCGAAGGAATCAGAAGAGAGAGAACAAGCAAACCCAGAAAAACTGAAAGGGTTTTTCCAAATTTTCTATGAAAATCCAGTTGGCCTGCACAATGAACGTGAATCAGTGAGTGCCTCTGTTTCTGTCTACAACGTCATCACTAGAATAGCAGCTCCTCTGCACCTTCTCTCAGTAAACGTTGGGCAAATAGTGGGAGAATATCAAATGAGGAGGTTGGAGGCCCATCCTTGGCCTCAGCTCAGGCTCCAGTGGGGCAGGCTACACCACAGCAGCAATGCCAGGCAATCTCTGGAGATCTCTGACTTCACATCAGTCTTAAGGAAGAAAGGTTGAGCTTGAGCAAGGGCTGCCTGACCCCGCATGGCCTCCTCAGTGTGCTCCCTGTCTCTTCTGGACCCAGCCCCTTGGTTTATACCTCTCCCGGAAGGTGGCCCCAAATCTGAAAAGCAGGTCTCCTTCACATTCCCCCCAGGGCCTGTGAGGATGACTGGGTGGGCTCGGGGGTCCTCTCAGCGTGCTCACTAACATTCCCTCGCAGGCCGTGCTCTGCACAGGGTGATTCATCTCAGAGATGTGCTGGGGGAGCTTGGGCTGTGGCAAACGAGGGGAGCAACAGGCAGGGGCGGAGGGGCAGGAACAGGGTTACCTTACTCTGAGGACAGGCCTTGGCCCTGAGTCACTGCGTTGTCCTGCCCCCAGGTTCCCTAAGCAGCCCTGAGTGGCCTCTTTCTCTGCCACCCTCTACCAATCGTCATCCTGTCTCCCATGTCCAGCAAAGCCAGGCTCGGGGTGGGCCTAGGTCGCGAGCCTGAGGCGGCCAGGCGAGCGCTGACCGGTGCCCTGGGCGCACGGCCGGCTTTGGGCCCCCGGCTCACCGGCCAGGGAGAACCGGGCTGGGCAGGGGCCGCCTGCGCGGAGCTGTCCAGCACCCCAAGGCGGGGCGTGCGCCTCCGCCC